ATATAATTTTTTTTTAAAAATACTCCTATTAATTACTAAACACAATTTTTAACTCAACTTTAATTACTTAATTAAAATTTTTTAATTAAAAATTATTATAAAACTTAAAAATTGATAAAAAATGATAAAAAAATCTAAACTCTAATATAAAAAGTAAAAATAAAAATAAAAAATTCCGTGCAACGCACGGCAAAACAAAAACTAGTTGATCTAAATGGTGCAAATCATATTAAATTTCTGCAAGTGAAATGACATCACCTAGACAGCTAGACCCTAAGTTACTGCAGACGAAATGGCACTGTTAGAGCCTTAGACGGCGCTAATGCGATTTTTTTCCAACACTAACCTCTAAGTGATATCATTCCATCTACACTAATTTAGGCCCTAGGTGATGTTATTTTATCCACATAAATTTAATGTGATTTACATTATTTAGACTAATTAAGCACATTTAGGTACTATTAAATGTGCTTAATGATACTTAAAGTGCTTGAGCAAATTTTTTACTAATTTTTTAACCTAATGAAATGATGTTATTTAATTTATTATAAAAATTTTATTAAAAAACATAAAAAATTATATTAAAAAAATTAAATGTCAAGTAGTTTCCTTAAATTTTACTCTTTAAAAATGATAATGAATAAAAAAATATTTGATCTTTTATTTATTTTATAATTTTTAAAATTATTTTACATTTTTTCTTATTTTCTTAGAATTACATTGAAAAATGGTTTAATACCCAATTTGGTCCCTAAACTTTCATTTCAAAACTTAGTTCATCCTTTAACTTCAAGAAACACCCAAACCATCCTTAAATTTTATTTTTTTATAATCCAAATGGTCCTTCGATCACAAAAGTGCCCAACTAGCACGTTAACTTGTCACGAGTTAATACTTTTATTTTAGAAAAAATACGTGGAAAAAAATGATAATTTGGTAATTTCAATAAATTTAATAGAAAAAAAAATACAATTATAATATTAACCCTCCCTCTATCTTCAACCCCCATCCCTCTGCCATTTTTGTTCTTTTCTTTGTTCTCCAGCACCGACATCAACACCAATACCAATGGATTCTTTCCCTTTCTCATTTTTGTCTCTACTCTTGTAAGGACAAGTCCGAGGTGCCAAGTCAAGGACAAGTCCGAGGTGCCAAGTCTCGGACTACTACAGTAATTCCTTTATGACCGAAGTGAAGGATAAATCCAAAGCTTCTCGCTCGAATAGCTACATGACAATGACAATAAGCATGCACACACCTGATTCCTTATGATGAGTTGCACAGCAGGTATGGTAGACGTCCGTGCACCTGAATACCTCTCAAATTCCTGGTCTCGAAATAACCGTCTGGAGATACACATCAGATGCCGAATATCTTGCTTGGCATGCCACGTAGGTTCCTCATTGAGACCTATAAATACCCCCCGAGAGCCACGTCAAAAAGGTAATTGAAACCAACCCTAAACTCTTTTTATCTCCACTCTAAAGGTAGCCCCAATTATTGCTGACTTAAGCATCGGAGTGTCTACCCTGAGTTCCACCTCGGGGCTTTGCAGGTCATTCCGAAGTGCAGACGCGGACTGAAGAAGGACTTTTGGTTTGGTGCAATTACATTTGGTGCCGTCTGTGGGAATTTGAACTGAAAGCTTTCTTGTTGCTCTTCCGTCATGGTTCATACTCGATCAGTCCAAGCTGGCAATTCATCTCTGCCTCTTGGCCAAGGTCAACCCCCCAGCAACCTCTACCACCTCATTCCCCCCAACCCCCACCACCTCATCTCCTCTTACCCCCTCCACCGTTTTCTCCGAACTAGATGGAGATGGACTACTCTCCGAGTTCATGCTCCCATAGTCCAAGGGCATCACCTCACTCCCTACTATACTTATTGTTTCTTCTGAAGACATTTTTTCAAACTCTACACGAAGTAAGGGGGAGGAATAAGTCAGGATCCCTTTAAAAAAAAACCCCTCTTTTGCACATTCCAAATCCTTCTCACTTCTAACCCTAACTTCCTTCAAAGGACTCTAAATCAACCACAGAAAGGGAGAAATGAGAGAGACACTTCGATTAACTCAAAATCAGAAGTTCGTATACATTACCTGATTTCAGTTTCAAACGCTTGATGTGAAAATCCCCAAATGATGCAGTAGTTCACGCGCAGAAAGCAAACGGTAAAGCTTTTCCCAGAAGTTTTGCAGAAAATGAAATGCAAGTAAACTTCTTTTTGCAAAAAAAATGCCTATTTATACTTCTGGGCAAAATTAGATCTCAACGGCTGAGATTCATTTAATCTTACAGTTCCTGTTGACATCGTTTGGAATTCGTCGGCCAACCCTAAACGGTATCGTTTTGAACTCGACAGTTCGTTTTTAAATCTGCCCATTTAACTGTTGCAGTTATCTTTTTACGGCCGCATTTATTGCGCACGTCATTCAAAGGACAATTGTCACACCACGCCCTACCCCTTTGTCAGACTTCTGAGATGGGCCCACTTAAACCCATTTCAACTCTTTCACTTACTTTTACACATTCTTAATTTTTGCAAGTGTTTCATTTCGGCTCCAGCTCCAGCTACAGCAATCCTGCATTACACATTTCACTTCGGCTACTGCCACAGTGACTCACTTTCACACACTTCACTTCGGCTACTACCATAGTAACCTAGTATCACATGCTTTACTTCGGCTCCGGCCATTATGACTCTGGTCATTATATTTTACCACGGCTCCGGCCATTATGACTTCGGTCATCGTTTTTTATCACGACTCTAGTTACATTGTGACTCTGGTTATCACCTTTTATTACGGCTCTGGCCACTATGACTCCGGTCATCATCTCCTACTATGGCTATGGACACATTGACTCTGGTCATTATTTTTACCATGGCTACGACCACGATCGCTCTGGTCACATTTTATTTTAAGCATCCCCAGCATGACCCTCTGTCGCATACTTTATTATCAGCTACGGCTATGTATGCGTCTAAGTTACAGATTCTACTTCTTCCTTTTACTTGTATGACTTATCTGTATTCTCTTTGTTTATGCACTCCTCACATTATCCCCAACAACATCATTCACAAGTGAATGACTTCGGGGGGGGAGGGGGGAATAGTATAAGGACAGGTCCGAGGTACCAACCCTCGGACTGCTACAGTAATTCCTTTATGACCGAAGTGAAGAATAAATCCAAAGCCTCCCGCTCGAATAGCTGCATGACAATGACAATAAGCATGCCCACACTTGATTCCTTATGATGAGTTGCATAGCAGGTTTGGTAATAATAATATTTTACGATTTAAAACTTTCAAGTAGCTAACAATTTAATCACTAACTTTTAAAAAGTAACAACTGGATCCTTTAGCTTTAATATTACTTGCAAGAGTTTTTTTTTTTTTTTTAATAACTTAGGTTTGAGACTCGGCAAAAATATATGAAGAAAGTAACTAACTTCATGGACACTCCTATTAAAAAAAAATAATTTGTTTAACTTGTATCCTTAGATTTTAGCCTTCACTTCAAGAAAAAAAAAAATTACATGTTATGACATTTTTATTATAACAATTTGCACTAAAATTATACTATAATAATATTTACAACGGGCCTTGTTGCGACGGCTTGTCCGGAAAAAGTGCGTCGTAAATGAGGGTTTTTTTTAGTGCTTTTATAATTAATTTATATAAAAAATCACAAAAATTAATCTTTTTTAATATTATTTTTATATAAATAATTTTAATTGATTAATTAGTTAAATTAATATTAATATTTCTTTTAAACAAATTAATTATAAAAAAACATAATAAATACATCATTAAAACTCCAAGAAAAACTAAAGAAAAAAAAAACAATTTACAAGCATCGTGAAAGCTTCACTTTCATTAATTAATTTTATAAATATTTGTAAAATGTTTCATTTATAAGAATTTGCTTCACTTTTTAAAGATGTCGAAACATAATCTACTAAAATTATTTGCGTCTAAATGGCATTAAAAATATTTAAACATACATTATAAATATATGATATAAATTAATTCCTAAAAATTTGATCCAAACGCAAAGAATAATCTTATATTTGGATTAAGGGAAATGACTTGAGGAGAAAAAAAGAGGGGAGGGAGTTATATCCCTCCATTCCCCTCCCCTCTCTTCTTCTTATTGGAAAAAACACCTAAATTAAAAAAAAAAAAAAAAAGAGTAAGGAAAAAAATTTTCCTCTTTTGCCCTTTAATTTTTTTATAATTAAATAAAAAATTTGTTCTCTATTCTCCTTAACTTAAACAAATCATAAAAACAATATTAATATTTAACAAGTAAATTTTTTGATGTAATCAACATAATACTATTAATTTCTTTTTTTAAAATAATTTTTATATTCCAAATCACATTATACTACATAAAAATAAAATTAACCATAAAAAGGTGAGAAGTGCTGCGATATAAACGGGGGCTCTCCCCATCGGATGATTCTAGTTGGATTGCAAGAAAAATGAGTCGGCTTTATGAGAACTGAGATAATCATGTTAATGCTGTCTACATTTCAACATTTACTGAGTGTCTGAGACACTCATGACTCAAATTGAATTAGTCATTTTTTTAATTTAATTTAATTTTTTTTTTTTTTTTTGAAATACTCATCAATCACCAGCGACGTCCCGTTCAGCAATAGAGATGCTCCATTAATCCTCCGCAGATTTTTCATCAAAGTTGATAATAAAAACTCCATAATACTTATAATCGAATCAAACGATTCTTTTATTCTAGATCATTCCTCATATTCATACATTATTTTTCTTTTAAAACTACATAATACTTATAATTGTATCAAACGATTCTTTTATTCTAGATTAGTCCTCTTATTCATACATTATTTTTCTTTTTGACAGAGATTCATACATTACATAAGTAACCCTAACTAGCAGGCTTAAATGAGATGAGTTGCCTGGATTCCGGCGAAAGCCTCTCCCAAACGGTGGCCTCGTAACTCTTGGTCTCTGCGCCATCACTCGCGTTCAAAGTCAGCCGGTATTTCATTCCCTCAACCACCTGTTGTTCTCCCTTGACGATCCGGTTCAGTTTCAGAGTCGTATTCGACTGCTTGTTGTACTCTGACACCGCAAACTCAGCGATCTCCTTCACGTGTGCGTCATTCAGATCCTTAATCGGCTCCCATCCTCCGGGAATAGCCACATCGCCGACGCCGGAGCCGACGAGGGAGAGAAGGAGGAGAGAGACGGAGAAGATAAGGAAACAAAATCTTGACTGCATTCGCACGACTTTCGGTAGATTTGGGCTGGAGGCGGAGGGTGCATGGGACAAGTATTTATAGGAATACACAGATGGCATGGTTATCACACACAATAAATTATTATTTTTTTAAAATAATGATTAGTAGGTTAGTATTGTTAAATGTTAATAATTGAATATTTAATTTTTAGATCTGATGAACGACTCATCAATCTCAATGAAGCGCATGACTATCAAGTTCGCTTGATGAAGTTCACCGCAATAAATTTTTGGTATTACCCAAATCAATGGAACATATTTTCGTATTAAATTTAGATAAAATTTTAATTATATTTTTTTATATTTTATTATCAAAATTTATTTATATTTATTAAAAATTATTATTTTTATTTAAAAGTTATAACAAATTAATTTTAAAAATAAATAATTAATTAATAATTAAAATTTTATATAAATATAATAATATAAATTTTATATATAAATATACTCCTCTTTTATTTTAAAATATCATAATTAATTATTTAAAAAATGTTTGCTCAACAGTATGCTGCGTCGTCTTAACGACTGCCAATAAACGACGAGGAAAATGGGGGAAAAAATGACGTGTGAGGAGATTCAGGACCATGGTTGCAGAAAGCTTTAAATGATAGAGCTTAAAGTGTATAAATACTACTTAAGTAATTTAGATGGTTTTTTTTTAATAATAATTTTTTTAATATAATTCTAAGAAAATAAGAAAAAATAATGTAAAATAATTTTAAAAATTATAAAATAAATAAAAAATTAAATAATTTTCTATTCATTATCATTTCTAATGAGAAGAATTTAAGAAAATTACTTTACATTTAATGTTTTTTTAATATAATTTTTTATGTTTTTGTAATATAATTTTTATAATAAATTAAACAACATCTCATTAGGCTAAAAAATTAGTAAAAA